TCAAACACCAATACTCCTCAAACTCTTTAATGAAACTGAAGGGGAATGAATACTGCCGAAGTTATTGTTGGAAAGTAGCATGATTCTGATCCCCAAACCAGACAAGAATCCAATACATTAATCAAACTAATTAACTGATTCAACTCATTAATTCATGATAGATGACACAGAAGAGCCCCCCCAAAATTCCACCAAAAAACTCCTAAAACTAATAACCAAATTTAGGATACAAAATCAAAACAAAAAAAAATCAACAGCATTCTTGTACACTAATAAAAAGAAAAAGAAATCAGGAAAACAATACCATTTACAATAGCAAGGAAAAATTAAATACACAGGGAATTAATCTAACTAAAGAAATTAAAGATCACTACAACAAAAACTACAGGAGGCCAGGAATATAGCTCAGCAGCACAAGCACCTGCCTGGCAAGCGTAAGGTCCTGAATTCAATTCCCAGTTCCAAAAAAAAAAAAAAAATTCTGAAAAAGGAACTTGAAGAGGACATCAAAAAAATGGAAAGATATCTCCTGTTCCTGGGTAAACAGAACCAATACAGTCAAAATGGCTATACTTCCAAAACTGATATACAGATTTAATATAATACCAATCAAAATACCAACAACATTCCACACAGAACTAGAGAAAATAATCCTAATACTCAACAAAACCAGAAGAGAGCCAAAATAGGAAAAACAATCCTGAGTAACAAGAAGAAAGCAGGAAGCACAACAATCCTAGATTTTAAGTTATATTACAAAGCTGAAATGATAAAAACAGCATGGTCCTAACACCAAAACTGACATGTGTCAATTGAACAGCATAGAAGATATAGAGGGGCTGGGGATATAGCTCAGCAGCACAGCACCTGTCTGGTAAACACAAGGTCCTGAGTTCAATTCCTGGTATAAAAAAATACAAGATGCAGAAACGACGTTAGATACATTTAGCTACATGATCTTTAACAAAGAGGCCAAAAACATATGCTGGAGAAAAAAAGATAGCCTCTTCAATAAATGGTGCCGGGAAAAACTGGCTAACCACATGCAGGTTGAATATAGAACCATATTTTTCACATATGCCAAACTAAAGTCAAAATAGGTCCAAGATCTAAACGTTAAAACAGAAACATTTGCCAGGCATGGTGGCACACACCTGTAATCCCAGCACTCAGAAGGCTAAGACAGGAGGATCACTGTGAGTTTGAGGCCAGCATGGACCAACACATAATAAGACTCTGTCTTAACAACAAAAAAAGGGAAGAATTTTCTGAATAGAACCCCAATTGCATAAGAAATAACATCAAGAATCAACAAATGGGACCATAGCAAATTAAAAAGCTTCTGACAGCAACAGAAACAACTAACAGCATAAAAAGACAACCTACAGCCGGGCGTAGTGGTGCACATGGGAGGCTGAGGCAGGAGGAAGGCCACGAGTTCAAAGCCAGCCTAGGCTACATAAGCAAGTTCAAGGCCAGCCTGCACTAAATGGTAAGACCTTGTCTCAAAAACAACAAAAAGACGACCTACAAAATAGCAAAAAATTTTGCCAGCTATTCCTCAGATAACAGGACTAAAATACAGAATATATAAAGAAATCCAAAAAACTAGACCCCTCCCCCATAGTAAAAGACTCAGTCAAAAAGTGGGCAACTAAAATGATTACATACTTCTCAGCAGAAGTACAAATGGCCAATAAGTACATAAAAAAATGTTCAACATCTCTAGTCATTAGACAAATGCAAATTAAAACAAAGATTCCACCTTACTGCATAAAGAATGGCTATCATCAAGAAATCCAACAACAACAAAAGTTGGCAAGGCTGTAGGGAAAAAGGAGCCTTTCTACATTTGTTGGTAAGAATGTAAACTAGTACAATTACTATGGATATCACTATGGAGATTCCTCAAAAACTAAAAATACAAATTTTATTCAACACAACTATTCCCCTTCTAGATCTCTTACCAAAAGAGTTAAAGACATAACATTACAGTGATATATAGACCATGTACAGAACATGTACACAACTCATAGCTCTCATGCAGCACAGTTCATAATAGCTAAATCTTGGAAGCAGCCCTTATGTCCATCAAAAACGAAAGGATAAAGAAACTGTGGTATTTACACACAATGAAGTAGTACTCTATCAAAAAGGGTAAACTTCAGTCATTTGTAAAAATTACTGGATTTACTTTGAGACTATAATGTTAAGTGAAATATATCAGCCATGCAAGCTTAAGTATCGCATGTTTTCTCTTACATGAGAAACTTAAAATATACATAAAGAGCAAAACAAAAGATAGATAATAGGAAATATGGAGACAGATCTTTTCCAAAAGGGAAAGGCATCAAGAGACGGAGGGAGGGGAAACTGAGATGTGTTATATACACATACCAACTCTCCATGATGAAGGTAATTATTACGTATCGCAAGCACATACTAATAAAAGAAAAATAATTAGACAAGATCCAACCACCAGCATAGGGTTAAAGTAACAGCCTCACATGCGTATCTTTTTGTATACAAGGTTTCTTCTTAGTTCTTTGTAGTTAGTATTATTGGGGGGGGGATCATCATTGAACAATTGCTAATCGACAATGTTAATTGGAAAACAATTAAGATTTTAAAATATGCATTTTTAACTCTAGGGCTTCTCAGACTTTTATATGTTAATTGGCATTAGGATACTCAAGAATGTAGTACACACCTTTGTCCCACTGAAGTCACCCTGAAACTTTTTCTCCTTTACAGCATAGTTGGAGAAACTAGGATTATACTCATTTGGAAAACTAGAGAAAAATCACTGCTTCAACATAAATTGTAAGTCTATCTAAAAATACCATATGTATTAGAGTGATCCCTTCCAACTAATTCATTTTGTTAATTTCTTAAACCATACTGTGTACTGAAACTATTCTTTCTCTTGTTGAATAATATACAATTGGCTTTCCCTGAGATAGGAGTACCTCCAGTGTTTGATTTAACTTTGTTATGGTCACAGGAAAGCATGAAGAGGTAAAAAACTTGTTTTAAACCAGAGCAGGGAGAAATGCTAAAAAGAAATGCTAAAAGAGAACAGCAAAATCATGGTATCACAGATAGGGCTGCCACTCTCCCAAAGTCTGATATCACATGTCTGACCAATGGGGCTACGTATCTCATACATTTTCTCCATCTCCCTCCAACTGAAAGCAGTCATAAGAATTCTAATTTACTGACAATTTATATAAACCCTGATCTAAAAATTTAAAACTAGAACATTCTTTTACTTTTACCTTCGTAAAAGCAGCAAGTTATTATTAAATATGATTTTAAAGCCTCAATTCATTTTTGAATCACTAACAGAAATCCTGAAAGGGGAAAATAACTTCATCCTAGCATCTTCAATACTCTTTATCAACTATCTTCAGTTAAATTACATGTTATAGTCCCAGCAGACCCAAGACAGAATTTGTGTTTGTTTTTTTTAATTTTTTGTTTTGTTTTGTTTTTTGAGACGGGGTCTCTGTAGTCCAGACTGGTTTTGAACTATATAGACCAGGCTGGCCTCAAACTCTCAGCAATCCTCCTGCCTCAACTTCCCGAGTACTGGGATTACAGGTGTGTACCACCATGCCCAGATGACAAAATTTGTTTTAATTGGATGAGCCTTCTAATCAACACGTACCACTATTGGCTCCAACCCACCTGTGTCTCTGTTAATGTTGCTCTTTGACCTAAAATATCTCTTCCCTTTTCACTAAAGTTGTCTCACTCCTAGGTATCTTTGATGGTTCACTGCTTCCACTCAGACTTTCCTGGCTAACCCAGCTCATTAATTTCCAGTTCTCTGAATTTCCAATGACAGTCTAGAACATCCTTCAGGAGGTTGAGGCAGGAGGATCATTATAAATTCGAGGCCAGCCTGGGCTACATAAGTGAGTTTAAGGCCAGCCTGAACTGCATAGTGAGACCCTGTCTCAGAAAGACAAAAAAAAGATAACATCTTTAGAGAGAATAAATCCTCCACATTTAAGCTAACAGCACTACTGTGAAAATAAATAGGTCGGGCAGGAGGATTGCTGCGAGTTCAAGGCCAGCCTGGGTTACAAAGTGAACTGCATAGTGAAACCCTGTGTCAAAAAGACAGGAAAAAAAAGAAAGAAACCAACCAACCAAGCAAATAATAAACACAAGAGAAGGTGATGAGTCAGACATATTGTACCCAATTTTCCTGAGGCACAAGTGAATTCTTTTTTTACATTTTCTTCCCTTCTCAGCACTGGGGATTGAACCCAGGGCCTTCACAGTGAGCTGTGTCCCAAACCCTTTTAAAATTTTTTACAACTTTGAGACAGGGTTTTACTAAGTCATTAAGTTGCCCAGGGTGGGCTCAAACTTGCCATCTGCCTGTCTCACCCTCCTAGAGTGCTGAGATTACAGGCTATCCACTCTGCCTGGGTTAGCTGGTTAAAGTCTTCGGGTAAAGGTTTGTTTTTCTTAAAGCAACATCGCCACCTTGTGGGCATCTAGGATACTGTTAATCTTACTGGTTTTGTTTTTTGTTGTTTTTTTTTTGTTTTTTTGGTTTTTTTTGTTGTTCTGTTAATCTCACTGTTAAATCCTCCTGTAGTGCACTTTTCACAAGGCTGGGCACAAAGAGAAAGCAGGTACATATTATGAACTGTATTCACTGAGTATTTAAGAATCAGAAGGTAAGGTAACCTCAAATAACCTATTTTTAAGATATTTTCTCTATCTTAAAACTGGCTACTAACTAAATTTCTGTTCCACCTTTGAGGATGCACAAATTTTGGGTAAAATTTAATAATGCAGCTTCTGGCTTTATGAAGCAATAACGGGAAGTACCAGCAAAATGAAACTACAGATTAGGAGAGATGCACAAATAAGACATCAAATAAGACATCACTAGAAGAGCTTTTACCCATTTACTAGTAAGATATCTCTAAAAAAATGTTCAGTCATAAAGCCTCAGATTCTCCTTCTTCCATTATTACCTTTTTTGAGCTGTACGCAATGTGGCACAGTATGCATTTTCGTTCTCGTACCATAGTGACCAGATCTGAAGCACCCAACGTCATACCTGCAATGAGGAAGTAACATTTAGTAACCATTCCCCAGACAGCATCTTTGATTCACCTCAATATAGCCAAAATTACAAACCCTGCCTACTCCTCACCTCCACCCTGCTCCGCCCACTATTCTCATCTCAATACATGTCAATTCCAACTTTCCAGGTACCCAGGGCAAAAGCTGTGAGGTTCATCCTTGATCCCTCTTTTGCACCCCATATCCACCCTCATCCACAAATCCTGTCCGTCTTACCTTGAAACATATCCAGCTTCTGACCCCTTCTCATTACCTATCACATCGCTCATCTCTCACATGGCTTAGCCCACTAACTCCCTACTTCCACGCTTGCCCTCTTGCAATCTACTCTCAAAACAGCAGCCAAGGATTCTCACAGCAGGAGTTGACCAACCCTTAACAATGTCTTTCTGCCCCTTTTATACTCTACCCAGGCTGCTGGGATTAGGGTGGTGCCAAACCAGTCTGTGAACTGATCCAGCAATCACCCACCTGCTAATCTCTTAATCCATCATTGCTCTACCAATCAATCACTCTAGATTCAGCCACCTCTGAAAATGGCCCATCTAAAACTGCATGAGGCTTTGCGGGGACATCTAGACACAAACAATAACAGTCCCTGCAGTGCACATTTTGTCCCTCCTCCCCTCATTCCTCTATCTCCCCATTAACTTGCTTAATTTTTTCATAGCATTGAGTTGATTGTTTCCACAGATCCAAAACAGTATCTCCTACCCCAAATGCTCTTGCAGTGTCATCTTGCCACTGCCAAGGTAGTCTGTTTCCCCTCCTCTGTGAACTATTTTGACCAGTAAAATACAGTAAAAATGACATCCTATAGCTTCGGAGTCTATGCTTTCAAAAATCTACAGCTTTTCCCTTAGCCTTCTTGCAGCACCTCCTCTTGGAACCGAGGCACCGTGCTGTGAAAAGCCCAACCACACACATGCACAGGCCCAGTGGGAAAGAACCAGGCCCAGCTGAGCACCACACCACAATCAGGGCCAGCTGACAGCGCATGACTAGGCCAGTCTGGAGAATTCCAGACTGATGACCAACTCCAAGAAAGACCAACAGATGAAGCATCCAAAGAGCCTTTTCAACCACAGAATTGAGAGAAATGATAGAATAGTTTTATTTTTAAGATGGTGTCATGTGGGGGAAAGTACCTAGGTCCAAACCCTCTCATTTGCAAATTGGAAGAAGTTACTTAAACTTTTTTTGTTGTTGTTCAATTTTTATTATTTACTAGTGCATAACAGTCAAATTCCTTGTGGAGAGCTGATACATATTCATAATACATCTCAGTTCTTTTTTTCATCCCCTTTTGCTCTCGTTTCCCTTCTCCCTCTATTTCTTGGTCCCCTTTCCTTTCACAAAGATCTCTCTATTATCTATCTTTTATTATGCTCTTTATGTTCTGAATTTCCCATGTAAGGGAAACTATTATACACTATTTAAGCTTGTGTATCTGATTTCATTTCACTTAACATTATGACCTCAAAGTGCATCCATTTTCCTACAAATGACTCAAGCTTATCCTTCTCTATGGCAGAGTAATACTCCATTATATATAAATACATTTTCTTTCTGTCAATTTGGGGGTAGCTTGTTATGCAGCAAGAACTATCTGAAACATGCAACTTTTTTTTCTTTTTTTGTGGTGGTGGTGAGGATTGAACCCAGGGCCTCATGTGTGCTAGGGAAGCACTATACTACTGAGTTATACCCCTAGCCCTAAACAAACACCTTTTACCACCTGACATCATATATGTTATTCTCTATGTGCTCCAATTGAAACTTAAGTTCCATAAAAGTAGGGACTTTATATATTTTGATCACTAGTGTGTGTGTGTGT